ACGGGACATTTGCATCACAATAATAACCTCTGATGTACTCTTCTATCTCATGCCCGTCAGGAATCACTGAAGGATCTTGATTCACTTTGAAATCTTTGTATAGGGAGTTGATTTTGTTACCAAAGGCAAAGTTGGTTGTAGTAAACTGCATGGCAACACTTGGCCCATATTTTCCCCTCTTCCTCAAATAATAAAAGAGGACATCCAGGTGCTGAGACAAGAAATAAAACAGAACAACCATCACTACCAGATTTTTAAAATATAGAACTTTATACACTATTATACATAGGTATACATATTTATACAAGGTTATACAATGTTATACAATCTTATACTGTGATTATACAAAGCTATGTATACACTATGCAAGTCTCAAAACAACAAAGATATGCAACAAAAATAAAAAGGGAATTAGAACAGAAATTTATTAAAATATCGTGTCAATCAAAGGGCAGCCACAATATGCAAGTGAGTGGAACCAATCCTTCTTGGTCACATAACACGAGCCAAAAGTAAAACCTTCCACAAGATTATTTACTTCATCGGGATATATATGTTTGGCACTTCAAATCACAAAAAATAAAAAGTAATCAGAACTACATTCATTGACAAGTATAAAATCAGAAAATCAAAGATTGAAGAAAGTGAAGATACCTTTGCCTCGTATCCATCCCATTATCAACAAACACGCAAAACTCTTTAGCCAATGGCGACAATGTATCAAAATCATCAATTTCAATTGTGAAAGGATGCTTCATATCAAAAATGAGCTTCGGCGCTGATTTTGATGCTCCAGAATAAAAAACTGGCAAATATGGAGATTTGGCATATTTTCCTAGTATTCTCTGTCGAACTGAATGGTCAGGAGAAATGTAATCATCTTCTACTTCTATGATCGATTGTTTGTGAACCACAAGTTGGGACATCTAAGCTAAATCTTCATCATCAATCTCATCCCAAAATGTGTCACCCTTGACATCACCTGCTGCCCCTTAGAAATAAAAACACAAATAATACAAAACTTCAAAAAGAAGAAAAGAAAAATCAGACCAAAAAAAAAGAAACCAGAACAAATACCATTATCAACACCATCAGTAACTCTCTCGTTAGCTACCACATTATCTTGATTCATTTGATTGACAAAGTTAGGAACAACATCATATTGATAGCCATCAAATTCGCCAAGACCAGATGTATTGTCATCAAACACGGGCTGACGAATCTAATAAAAAACAATAGAAAGAGAAGGCATGTTGAGTTCAGAGAAGGCATAACTGTTGACTGATTTGGTTTTATCAGTAAACAATTACCTTAGAATCAGTAAAATCCTCCCTCGTTTGCTTGGGTTCCTTATTATTCGGAAAACTGAACACTTTTTCAAAGGAAGAAATGACATAGTTGTTGAGCGTCGTCACTGTATCAGTCAACTACAACAAAAGCAAATAAACAACCATGTTTATAACCAAAAAGTAATTATAAACTAAAGAAAAGCTAAAGGTCCAGTACCTTTCCAACATCACTCCTCAACTTCTCAACTTCATCATTCAAAAGATCAAGGCGCACAAAAGGATCATAACTTGGATTAGGCTGTGGATTCATAGTCTGAGGACAAGGTCGTTTAGACTGTTGCTTTGCATTTTGAGGATAAGGTCTTGTAGACTGTTGCTCCATATGTTGAGGACAAGGTGAAGGTGCAGCAACAAAATCATCAGTGTGAGAGGCAGGAATAACAGGCACCTCCCCTGATGCAACATCATCGGCATTGACTTCAAAAAGTGTGTCGATGTTCAGACTTGACATCTCTTCAGAAGTAGGGGAAATGTTACTATAGTTCAACTACAAGAAGAAAAAAACAGGATTACAATAGTAGAATAATACAGAAAAACTGAAATCATATATGAAAAAGTATTATGGTACAAAATGTTTACCTTGTCGACACTACACATGATCATGCCGCCAGTCAAATCCGCATATGATGGAGTGTTAGTCACTTTCCAATTAAGAATGCGTGGCACATTTGTGCCAACGCGAACAACTAGATTCTTATCAACCATTGAGCAACACTCAAGAAACCAAACCTGTAAAGCAAGCGGCAAACCTCCAAGCCTATACATTGTCAAATAATCGCATTGCTTGTCCCTCATTGTCCTTAAAACATCTTCAAATGACTTTTTTCCCCAAGGAAACATCTTATATTGGCCACTTTCGATGATATCAAAATCATCTTTGGTGATACCATGATTATTGGCATCAGAGAAGATGAAATGATGGACAAAAACCATCAAGGCCATCTTGAACGCATCTTCATCTGACTTCCACTCCTTTTGCTTGAAGCGATCAAGAAGCTCCCCCTTGTTATGGCCTTTTTTCCATCTCCTAGAAAATACTCTTTCAACAACCTATTAACATCTGGTTTGTCATAGAAGGAGGCGTCGTCGTCTACGCACTTCAAACTAGTGATAAGAGCAAACTCTCCAATGCCAAAACACAACAAACAACCATTAATCTTCACCCACAACTCCCTTTCACGTCCCGGGACAACTTCCCTCAATAATATACAATGAATAAGTTGATTTTGAATTTTAAATTGAGGGAGGTCCAAG